AGACGTTTATTATATGCTCCGGAAAGTGCGCCCTCGGAACGAATAACGATTAAGTGAAAGAAAGTACAATAATTTAACCGGAACATAACAATACGGGACTGTGTGACTGTGTGAGAAAAACAAATGATTTTGAAGAGTAAATCTATATTATAGAGAAAAATTGTTGTTTGTGAGATGACGGATATAAAACTGCAAATAATATACAATAATAATAAAACACGCAAATATCGGCATAAGCACTTAATGCCGAAATTGCAGAGAAAAAAAGAGAGATTGCAAAGGATGGAAACGGCGATGGAAAGGCTAGATAGATACGGGGATCAATGGGCACTACTCCACGACCTCGTCTCTCTCTCTCTCTCCCTCACACTCTCTCCTTTTTCTCTCTCATTCAAGCTCGCCGACGTTACGCTCCCACCGTAACGCTACCCACCCTGTATCGAGTGTCCAACCCTCGAAGCGTGACCGTGACTGTGACTCTCTGGTCTGTGAAAGAGCGAAGTGCGCGTGTCCGCGTTGCATCGACGCCACCGCTGCTGCCGGTTTTTATATGCATTGCACACGTAACGCGATTCGCTGTAACGTGATGCGCGCGATGCATTCACCGTAACGAAATCAGAATGAATAAAGACCGCGTATAAAAATTTTCTCGCAAACATAAAGAATTATTATCACAATTATTAATACTGATTTTTTTTCACTTCATTGTTTGCATCGTACAGAACTATGATCTTGAAGTTTTAACGAGGGAACGTTTCCCAGTGGAAATCTCATAATAACACCAAACAAATTTGTTCTTTGGGTGACAAACCAGAAGGTAAACGTCATCATTTATAAGCCTTACACTTAAAAAAATAAGTGTTCAGTTATAAGATATTATTATAAAATGTTTCACTCCTGTCTCCGTTTTTTAAACACTTAAAAGGATTTTAAAAACAATTAGTCAAAATGTAAGTAGAACTTATACACAGACGATGATTTGACACTACGTATACTCATTGGTACTACATATTACATCAAAATCTCATTCACGCGTGCCACACGTACACATAAATTTTATATATAAATGTATAACGTTTTTCAATTGTTACGTCCAATTCTATGAACCACTCCACGTTGTTTCTTCGTTAGCTAGCTACTAATCTGTGGACTGCTATTTCATAAGTACAGATTGCACAGCTTTTATACGAAGCAAATGTAACGATGTGAGCAGCTCTAGAGCGCCATATTGAACTAAGAAACGGTAAAGATCTTAGTTTTGAAATTTTTTTACATTCTCGATCTAAACCTTTACCTCACAGACACGTATTAATGCGTATCCTGGAAAAGGATTTTCGAATCTATAAAGAAGGAAAAAGTTGTTACACAAAAATTATATAGTTTAGTCGATAATACAGGCAGCTTTAGGATCTCCTAAAAATAAAACATTAAAGATGTTTTAGTTTTAAACATTTTCAATAAATAAAACATTAGTGTTTAAAAACGAGAAAATAATGAGAAACATTTTAATATCTTTAAATTAAACACTTCTTTTCACAGTATACTTTTGCGATACAAGCGAAAAAAAATCAAGTCATGTCGAAATTTTTACTAATCATTGATCATGATATTTTGTCAATTCTTGCTTGTTAACAAAATATAATTTTTATGGTTGCATTAACTGTAAAATTTGTAACTTACACCTATGAAAATGGTGAAATCAACATAGCAGACATACACATTTAATGATTAGGCATCAATTATATACAATATTAAAAATGTATGTGTATCATGCCATATACTTACATATTATAAATTCTCAGTGACACTCACAGTATATGGAATGTAAGAAAAATTTCTGATAAAATACTTACAATACATTAAATAAGAAAAATTAAATAATAAAATAATAAATTAAAATAATAAGTTAAAAATTAAATAAACATGTATTTACTAAAATCTAATTTAACAAGCAAATATTGGAAAAACAGGAATAGATATTTTTTTAATTATCTAATGTTTTTAAATGGTGAATTTCGTGTTATCCATCCTGCGTCACCCAGAAACATCACCCACATATTTAATATGTGGGTAAGTCCGGCAAAATGTATGAATTTGATCTATTTACTTACTTTCATTGTATAGATTTTTTATTGATTTATTTATGTATCTGTAGATTAATCGCTCATACTGGTTATTTTACATCATACATCAATTTAAGACCCTTTGGCTTAGGTAACAAGTGTCGAAGTCTTTCATCGACCACTTTAATGACATTAAGGGTCATCTTATCAAACGTGCTTTTGCAAATGTTCCTTCGATATCGACCGTCACCAAATTCTTTCGACCCTTAATTGCGTTAATGCAAGAGAATTCAATTCAATTTCAAATAAACCCTGGACTCTTTCTGAATTATCAACTTCGTTTGCGCGAATTGCATTTGTATCATAGCTATTACATTACGATTTGTGTATATAATTTATCGTCAAAACGTAACATAAGTTATTCGGAAAAAGTATCATTCTTTTGTGATATA